TCCCCTGACTGTCTGTTTGACACAGGGCCCGATCACTTTGCCTCTAATTCCCTCCTCCCCACTTCTCATCTATGTGTACTGTCCTCGATGGCAGGGACTTTCTCTCTCTCTAGCAGTATGTACAACACCTGACTGGGGCTCCAAGCTGCTACAGTGATAGACCCAATAATTAGCCCTGGAGACAGGTCTCTCTTCTCCTCCTTGGGGGAGGAGATCCACTTATTCAGGGTTGTGCGGGGCAGATGGCAGTGTGGAGAAATAGGACATCACTTTCTATTGCTCTCAAGCCACATCTTTCACTGACAAAATACATGAACATAAGAAGGGTCACACTGGGTCAGACCAAAGGTCCAACTAGTCCAGTATCTGTCTTCTGACAGTGGCCAATGCCGGTGCCCCAGAGGGAATGAACAGAACAGGGAATCATCAAGTGATCCATCCCCTGTTGCCCATTCCCAGCCTCTGACAAACAGAGGCTAGGGGCACCACCCCTACTCATCCTGGCTAATAACTATTGATGGATCTATCTTCCATGAATTTATCTAGTTCTTTTTTTAATCTTGTTAATGTCCTGGTCTTTACAACATCCTCTGGCAAGGAGTTCCACAAGTTGACAGTGAGCTGTGTGAAGAAATACTTCCTTGTGTTTGTTTTAAACCTGCTACCTATTCAAATTCAATTTGATGACCCCTAGTTCTTATGCTATGGGAACAAGTAAATCATTTTTCCTTATTCACTTCCTCCACATCTGTCATGATTTTATAAACAGATTTATTCTATGCATGGCTCAGCTCTAAGCAGCGAAGCTTGGTACAGCGGAGTTACTCGCCAGCTACAAAGGGATGGATTTATTAAATCTGGGTGGGTGGATGGGTTTGAGGGATACATTTTTCAAGAGAGCAGGATCTTTTTAACTGCAAATGGCCGATGCTACTGGGTCTGAAATGGGAATGCAATAATCTCTTGGCTCGTGTGGGGAAAGCACGGTTCTAGTCTGACACTACTGTTTGGAAAGGGGCAACAGCTGCAGACTTTCCCCATAGTTCACCCTGAGTTCAATCAATACATCTAGTAGGGTTGCAAAATTGCCAGTGTCCCTGAAGGAAATGAGCAAAGAGAGGCTGAATTCAAAGCGGAGCATGTTCTGCGCAGGCCTGGGAACACTCACATGGTGCTGCTGGGACAGATTACGGAGTGGGGAGAGTTAAGGTGAGTGTGAGCCGCGAGTGCCTTTCCTGCTTTAGACACATCCCGCTTACCGCCTGTCCAGACTCACCCATCCTCTGGGTCAGCACATTGACAAAGACGCATGAAATAGCACAAGACTCAAACCTTCTCACCCAGACTGGGATGCTCCTAGGGCTTCTCCCTTGGGAATGTTTGGCCAACACCCTACACCAGCGGTCCTCAAACTTCTTAGTCCACAGCCCATTCTGCTCCATGCAGACCTTTCCGCGGATCACCAGCCAGCCACCCATAATGACAAAATGGGTGCGGGGGGGGGGGGGGGCTGGGCGGGGG